CAATTTTTTTCTCGAACATTTAATGCTTTTTTTTTGTTAATAAATACTTTATTTTACTTTAAGCTTAAAACATAAAATCACTTAAATAACATAATTATACTTTTATAACCAATAGAGCTATATTTATATGCTATATTATAATATATTATATTGAACTATTAACACAATTGTAGAGATTCGTTGGTTCTTATCTAAAAGAAAAGTTAAGTTGCTTCACCAATACTATACTTTTACTGATTTTACCACTTTGTTAATTATAATAATTAATATTATATATTATAATATTAATATATAATTATAATTATATTTTAATAGTATATTATAATATTGTAATATAATATTGTATAATTAATACTATTAATTATTATGGAGAATTTGTAAATGTCGAATCAAATACACTCACGAAAACACTGTGCATTAAATAAACTAACATAAACACATATAGATAATCGTTATTATAGTAATCTATGATTTTTTTTCTATTGATTAGGTTCTACTACAGTTTAATAATTGATTAATAATGATTATAATTAATAATAATTAATAATATTTTATTTTAAAAAGACTTATCCAAACATGCATTGTTTTTACGTCTTTATAATAGTAGTTTTGTACCAAAATAATACTTTTGTTTTAAAACATAAACATCTTTCATAGTTAAACTATTTCTGAACAGGAAAATTAATATGGGTTTTGTAAAAGTTTTTGATTAAATGAGTTGCGTCAAGTCATTGCAAGGATCATAGAAGTCTTTATACAAACTTTGCAATGACATGATGATTGCAGTAATATTAGCCAGTTTCTTCAGATAAAGTTAATGATATGAAACATACCTATTATTTAAAGTACCTACATAAACAACGGTGAATAATACAATATAGGCCATAATATTATGATTTGCTGTTTTCTTAAGTGTATTAAAAAATATATTATGTTGGTATGTATAGATATACAGGGCGATCCATTAAATTTAAGACACTTTATCGTTTAACCATCTACTTTTCGTATAATAACTAATAAGTGTCTTACGTTAAATGGATCACCCTATATATCTCATAATTATGTTTCTATTCTGCACTTTTTTCAGTTCATAGTAGGCGAACAGTAAGTCAAATTTTCCTTCAAACTAAGTTACTCTTAATAGGCCAAATTTAAGTTTTCACAAACTCGAACTGAATCTCAATCAACTTTTTAACTTATAAAAAGCCGGTAAGTGGAAGTCGTTCTGGTGTACAGTAGGTTAAAAGTGGGTCACTGTATGGATGGTGTTAAATTTGAATTCAATGATATAAAATCAAAAAAAAATTTAAATTTCATATAGGTATGTATAAATACCTATAAAAACGAGTTAAATTTTTATAATTTATAGAAAATTATAATAATATTTAATTATAATAACTTTAAATAATTTTTTATGAAAATTTCAAGCATCTACAATTAATAGTTTTTGAATAACAAGAAAATAAGAAAAAAGTTGTATTTGAATTTGTTAATTTACAGGTGAGTATCCAATGCCTATAACTTCAAGTGCTTATAAAAAATTAACTTGACTTTCCGGTAAACTTTTCTTTTTTTTAATTTAGAAAAAAATAAGGGAAATTTTGTATGAACATTTCAAATCTTAGATATACCTAAATAGAAAATCTTTTATGAATTTCTAACTTGATAATTTTCGTATTTTTGATGAATTTTGTCATAAAAAATTATTATGGACTTATGCTCAACTTTTTTTTTAATTTCCACTAACATCAACTTATGAGGAACGTTGTAAGTATTACATTTTCAAGTTTTTTGACCGATTGAAAAAATTTGTATCGACAATAGTTAAAAAAACAAATAAAACTCGAAATGTTCTTATACCTATAAGTAGCTCAAAAAGATCCACAATATTTCGTAAAAGTTTTGGTGCACAGAAATAGCTAATATAAATATAAATTCAGTGGAAACGTCATCTATACAAAAATAATTAAAATTAACCTGCTTTCACACTTGAACATATTTCTGTTGTCAACTAGATGTTGAAATATGAAACTTTGTTTGCTTAGGTGGTAAAGTTCAAACTTATAAAAATGTATCAGTTAAAATTGTTCAGACTTTCTAAAAAGTAAAAATATCATAAGTCTATTATAAACCAAAACTACACGTTATACCAAAATCATATAAAACACATATACTTATTAATTAATAATATTATTAAACAATTTTGAGAGTAAGTTAAATTGTATCTATAGACATACCTATGAAATACTAAAATAATTGTTAGATTTTGATTTAAAGTATGCTAAAATAATTTTTTATCATTCAAAATTAATAACGTCTATGATTTTCTTTTATAATTATAACATTTTCTCTTTCCTAAAAATTTGCAAAATATTCCAATGTATTTGTATCTTAATAAAAGGGGCATAATATTGTGAATTAAGTTTTAAATTGTTAAATAATTTGTAATTGTAATTGGGGACTAGTTAAAACTAAGTGATTAAATAATATTAATATTTTAATAATTGAATATTATTTTACTTTACTAAATACTAAGTATAATCATCAAGGATCATGATATTAAATATTAATAGATGTACAACTACGGTAGTGGTTAAACGGTAAAAGAAGGGTTAGATTAAGTTAGACGTACGCGTTATACGTGTACCTACACCAAAAAGTAATTTACGTTAAAATGGAAAAAGGTGAAATATTTATATTTAAATTAAATAGTTATAAAAGTAAAGAACAAGACGTAATAGTTCAATAAATAATCATCTGCTTATTTGTTTTCCATTGTAGTTTTGTAGCAAGTGCATTATTTTATTTAGATTTATGATTGGCATTTGAACTCGTTTTTTAAGTCAATCAAGATACAATAATTGATCTTAATAATAGTTACGTATCAAATAAAAAAAATTAAAGGTAGGTACTCGCTATATTTTAAATGTTTTATATGTAATTATATTCAACTATTTACCGACAAAATGAAAAGTAAAATATACTGCCAGTAAGTACTATTGGAGTAATCGGGTGGCCCATTCGTCCCGGATTTTCGGGCGTTACCGATTGAGAAACTCTTGTCCAAGTGTCCGATATTTAACTGAATATAAGGTACGTCATACGATATGATAAATGTTTATCCATAATTTATTCATCAACAGTAAATTAATCATACGTAAACAATATGCGTATAATAAAACTAACACATATAAAATTAAATTATAATTTGTTGAACCAGGGTTCATAAAATTTAATCTGGCCACCCTAAACTATTGTAATTTATAAAAATACTATAACAACTATAACTATAGGTAGGTACTATAGTAATATAAAATATATACTACCCACAATCTACATACTAGAAAAATAAATAACTTCAATATGCATGAATAGGTGTATAAAAAACAATATTATTATTAATTAATTATGCTATTAATTGTTATATAGGTGTTTTTATCAAACTTAAAATACGACTAAAATATGTAGGTACCGAATACCGTAATATTTCTATTACGAACTCATAAACAAAAATAATTTTGACTTTTATTGTCTTTCCTGATTTAAATAAAAATATTTTCAATGGTACCTATGTACTGTAACATAATTTAAAAAAGTATAATTTTTACTTTATACAAACAAAAATAGGTGAATTCAAATATAAATAATAATATATTATACATAAAAACAGATCAGAACTATTTCTGTTCATGAATTAATATTGTGTAAAATTGAGGAGTTAAGTAAGAAAACAATTTTTCAATTTTAAATCATTCATCAAATTTCTGTACGTAGAAAATTAACTACCTGTCCACATAGTCTCCAATGACCAAAAAAGGTGAGACATGTCAACAAAAAATATCCTTGTTAAATCTACACCAGAGGGAATAAAAAAGGTCTTTTCTTTCGCAAATCCGTGTTATTATTGTATGCATCCGTACAACATATTATAAACATAGGTATTATATATAAAATTAAAATATGTATAGGTAAATACCTATGTACAAATAGCTTAACAACAAATACGCCTTTTTTGATTTACAATTGCTTTAACTGTAATTAGTACTTGCATATTAGACAGTTTTAACTAAACAAACAGTAATATTACGGTTACCTACATTTATTTATTTATTCGAAAAAAATCATTTTTGTTTTGATTTTCAACTCATAGTGCGATAATTACAATTTACAATTAAACCATTAATTACTTCGTTATTGCTCAAAGTAAAAAATAAGATGATTTGTTTCTAATGTTGGAATAGTCTGTAAGTGTAGAACTGTAGTCTGTAGAATCATTATTTCGAAAACGATCAAAATTTTGGAAAATTTCTTTTCCATGATTTGAAATTATTGCAATTCAAGATTGTTAAGATAAAAATTATATTTTTTATCGTTATAGTTTCTTTATGACACATTTTTAATGAAATAAGTAGTGTTTTTTGCCGATGTATAAAAATAGAATTTCAAACTAGAAGTTAATTAGTTAAAACTATATAATTAGACATTTTTAATATTTTAAAATTAAATAACTAGAATAGTGAATGGACATACATATATGTATGGGTAAACTTTGTGGACCTAGGGTCCGTCTATTATAGTAGCAGTTGCAGTGTCACTCCACTCCGTTCAACTAAACTGAAAATTAACTACTTGTACGAAATTTTATTTTATTTTTTTTAAATTCTAAGAAAAAATATTCTACTTCATAATATAAAATTTAAAATGTTTGGTGTGATTCAAAAAATAAATTACTTAAAAAATATGATTTTTTACGAAAGTTTTTTTTTACTTTAAATTGCGTAAAAAAATATCAACGTAAATGCTTTTGAGAAATTGAGTGTTTACTGTTATAAGAATCACGCTGCTACAGTGAAAGTAACAAAAAATGTTTATGGATAGTTTTAAAACTTAAAATCTAATTGGAATTAAAAGATCTTTACTGGAATTACACTGAAAAGATTGTTTGATTATTAAAATTATTAACAACTGTTTAATTATGTTTATAAAATGTATGTTTCAGCATGGTAAAAATTGGTTTACCCTGGCTGTTGCTGGTTCTAATGAAACTCACTAACCGAGAAATCAAGTCCGATGAGATTATATCAATACAGGAAATGTATGATATATGCCAAGTAGAACCTAACACTGATATATGCGATCTACTGGAAAAATCTTCGAGTTTAGTTGACCTAAACAAATTGGATTCACCAGAGAAACGCCGACAGAAGACAGTATTCTCCAGTTGGGGTGGAAAAAGACAAAGCACTTATCCATATGGGGGGAAACGTCCAGCGTTTTCCAGTTGGGGAGGAAAACGAGCTTCGGACAAACACGGTCGACCCAAACAAACATTTTCTAGTTGGGGCGGAAAAAGAAGTGATTATGATGGTTATGATAATGGAGAAATGGATGAACACCAAATGGATAAAAGGGAACTTAATGGGATTAAACAAGATAAAAACAATTATAGAAATAAAATGACCAAAGGAATTCATGCATTGTTTACTATTTTTTCCGACTGGTCAAGGGATCCAGAAGAAAAGAAAGGAATTCGATACGCTGGTATTAAAAGTATGAGGAGAAGTTCCGATTTTTTTCCATGGGGTGGAAAACGATCAACCGGTGATGCTAAATAAATATGTTTTTCTTTATAGTTGATGATAGGAGCATTCAATTTTGTCAAATTTTACTATAAAAACAAAGATAATTTAATCCTAATCCTACTTAAGTGACAATAAGCTTACTTAGGTAGTATAAAATTGGTAGAAACGTAAATGTATTATCAAAATAAACATATTTGTGATTAGACGACGGAATGTAGTTATTGTTCTATATTATTGTTCTACATTAAGTCAATATTTTGATTTATATTATATTGTTACACTATTTAAAAAATCTGGAAGATTTTGAAATAAAAATTAATCTTGAATTTATACTACTTTCTATGTGACAATTGATAAATGTAATTTTCTATGTATTTATAAATAATTCAGATAATTACATTGATCAAGATTCATATTTAACGACACATTGAAGGTTTAAAAATCAAGAGAATTTAGTTTCATTGATTATCACAAGTATCAAGTACCTACCTATAAAATGTATTTACTAAATATAATATTAGTTTTGTATAATATAAAATTAAAATTAAAATAATAAAACGGTTTAGTAAACTGATTTTTAGGGGGTAATAAAGTTTATAAAAAATAAATAAATTGTGTTACAAAATTATAAAAATAAATATAGCACATAACATTTAAACAATACTAACAAGTATGAGGGACAAGTCTCCTACCTCTCAAAACAATTAAGCCTCCTCAAAAATCATTGATAAATATAGTTTTGTAAAGGTACGGTTTCCCTGCAGCGTCAGACGCGAGAACAGCATGGCTGGGTCAGGCGCGGCGTCTAGACGCGACCTACGTCCAGACGCTAGACGCCGCGTCCAGACGCTGCAGGGAAACCGTACCTTAACGGTACTTACAAATTAGGTGCAATAAATTAATAAAATCAAGTTGCACTAATAATACGCCAATGTTATCTAATTAAGTAGGTAATTTAATAGTAAATAAATAAGTACCTATTTACCATATACTGTAGAATAAATAAGTGCGGTTCACATTAGTGTGTATGAAAGTTTTTGCAAACTTCTATTTTTGTACAATAGTACAATAATACATCAGGACATTTTAGTGGATAGTGGAAATGGCAACCTAGTGGATTAATAATGAAGAGAAGATTTATTTTGCAATCGATTTGAAGAATATTGAAATAAGCGATTTACTTATTTCGGTATTCTTTTAAATGTATTTATTTTAAAATCTATACAAATAACTGATTAATATTGTTTAAATACATTTCTAAAACTATTGATCTAGGTTTTAATAGATTAGTAATCTTTTTTTCTCACAAAAATATAAACTAAATAAAATAGGTATATAAATTTTAAAATTTATTATACTTATCACAATCCCTTTATGTATAGGTGTGTTAAGGACTAAGGTACAGTTTCCCTGCAGCGTCAAACAGTGGAACGGCACAGCCACATCAGATGACGACCTATGCCTGAACTGGTAGTGATGCTAAAATCCGTGTCCAGACGCTGCAAGGAAAACGTACTTTTACATAATTTAATATTTATTGAGTATAACCATTAGCTGCAGGCATGGCCATTAAATTGATGTTAAATTTATAATATTATTTGATTTACAATTTTGTTTGACAAGATATTATTTATTAGTGTTATTAATTATTATCAATGGTGGGTATGTGTGTTTTGTCTTAATACTCATCAATAATTTAAATTCCAATGTTTTTGACAGATAAATTTTTATTATTAAAGAAATAATGTTAAATTGAAGTAGAAAAGTATTTCATACAAAACACTAACATTTAAAATTTAAATATGATGATTTTTTAGATCAAGGAAACAAACTTTACTAACTCAACCTTTTTTTCTTAATTCACATATTTTTGTTATGCCTAGTTTACTTGTCGCTCTCACTATTATCACACGTGTGAATAGAAGTAATTAGTGCTTAGTATTAGTAAAACCGAGATTGCGAGTGAATAGAGACCCGTTCTATTTACTAACGACAAGTAGCTACCCCCTCCACGAGCGACAAGTACTAATGGCAAGTACTACACATCGTGTAAACTAGACATAATGTTAAGTGGGCACAACATGGTCATGAAAATGTCCACGGGGAAGAATATTTTAATATTTTAATTACACACACCAACAATCATTCTTATCAAAAATTGCAATAGCTCTCATCTTAAACTTTGTTTTTAGTTTATTATTTTAATATACCTACTTTTTGAAATCTTTCACTCTTTTGTATCAATTTGCATCTATGTTTTTTTGGCCACATAAAAAAGCTTGACAGGCGGTAGGTTATGTATGACTGTTAATACTGCCCAATAATCAACACTACCAAAATACCTTGATATTAAATTTAAATCAAAAGGATATTATAGAAATTGTTATTTTAATTAATAACTTGTCCATAAGCAAGGAGTCCACACCCCCCCCCAAAAAAAAAAAAATAAAACAACATGGAAAGTAGGTACTATATTAATTTACAAATATTTAAAATTAACAAAATATTTTAAAATTTGTTTTATTTAGTATGATAAACCCACCTACCAACAATGTTAAATTCCTGTCTACTGTAGCCAACCAACATTCACAGTATCTGTATATCTTTCATTACAAATGTATAAATGTATTGAATCAAATTAATTTAAAATTACATTTTTTTTAAAACTATCATAAATAACTGTCATTGGCGTTGATAGAAGCATAAAGTTTATCACAGGAAAAAGCACAAAATATTTCTACAATTTTGGTGTAAGATATGCATTTTAATCTTTACCAACATTTTTGTTAACAGTTTTTTTGTTGGTACTTATGTTTCTATTGCAGAATAGTTAAATAAAGTTACCAAAATGTTGATACATACTAAATACAATTTTTGATTTAGATTCCCTATGTTCCAAATACATTTTTTATTTAACTTTGATATCTATAAAAATATCTAACCTCTTTTTATACTTAACTATCACAAAAAAAAAAAAAAAAACATTAAAATGATAGAAGTTTCTAAGCCTTAAATTATAACTTATTAGTATTTAATTTAACATTCCATTCATTAATGTATTCATAAAAATTAAAAAATACTAATGAAATAATATAATTTTTTAGTTGAAATGTTTAAATTTTGTTAGTTTTTAATGGATCTACTTGAATAAACAAAAATAAATATTTAAAATTAAAATTGTATTAGGTTGGCTTCATATTTTAGTATAGTAATTAAAAATTAAAATGTATGTACCAGTCTATATAGGATGTTTGACCAACCATGTTCATCCCTATTTTCCTTTAATAATGAATATATTCAAATTTTGATTTTTGGAATTTTTAAATATACTCAGACCATATTTTGAAATTGTTGTTATTCATTGAATAAATAACACAAGAAATCTTATAGTGATCAATGGTCTTCAATTTAAATGTATAAGTACTTAAGGAGCGTTTACAGTGTTTACACTGTTCACTCTTGGTGATCATTTTGGATGAATCATCCAGAGTGAAGGAATGTTGGACATGACCCAACTTTGTTCATTGTTCAATGAGGATGATCATTTTACATTGTTCTTATTTATTTACTGTGGATGATTCATCCAAAATGATCACCAAGAGTGAACCGTGTACACGCGCCTTTAAATACACAAAAAAATCTTAATAATGTTAAATTAAAATAATAGTATTATTATAAATACTACAGTAAATACCTATCCTAACAAATAAAATTGTGAAAATTTTAAATGACAAACATAAATTATATACAGTACCTATGTTCAATTAAGAATATTGGACTTAATTACGTTATTAAAACGTTACTTTATTAAAAAAATTTTTTAGAACAAAAACATGATATAGACGTGAAATATACATTCTACGATTGTATCATTTTTGTTGGTGTCATATGCTAATAATAATATTGTATAGAATATAAGTATAACATCTGACATAATGTGTCAGCTACAGTTCTGATCATGAAATTTTTCATCACTCGTTGACACATTGCCGGGTCTAGTTCATCAATTTCGTTGTTAAGTTTTTCAAAGTATATGAGATTTGACAGAACGCCAAAGAAAAATCCACTGAAGTTAAATCACACCGTCTAGGATAAAGCATTTTTAATGAAACATGCCAGGGTTAAGAACGCCGGATTTGAATTGTCCATGAGTGATAGACAATTTTGTTCTAGTTCTAGTCAAACTGAAGCTTGCCAATGTAGCCGAGGTATATGTCAGATGTTATATTAAATATGTAAATAGAAGAATGTATACTACAATACTACATGTTTATATAATTTATTTGTTCCAAACAATTTTTTATAATTAAGTTATAAAAAGTTTAAATCTGGCGGTCTTCAAGAAACAATCTATATATTTTATAACTTATAACTTCTTAATTAAAGTTATAGAAGTAATAACTTACCTATTAAAATCATTATATTCTAATATTCTATCCAATGATTATTTATTACATTTTAAATAAGGTATAGTATTTAGATGTTTTCTCTTTAATATTATACCTAGATAGGTACTAAGGTAATGATAATTTATTATAAAGTAGTTGATAAACATGAATAATTTACCTGAAAAAGCAAACGTAGTGTTGTTTTCAAGAAGAATATCACACAATAGAAAAATAATAGTTTGAGTTCACAGTAAACGGTTATTGTAAAAAACAATAGAAGAATTAATAAATAATAATATTATTATTATGTTAACAAACATTTTTTTCAAAAATGTCTCTTTTTATATTTACTGGTCTAAACTCTAAATGCTTTGATAAAGCTAAAGCCATGGTAATATAGGTATTATGGTAAAAATTATAGGTAAATAGGTAATACAAAATAATGTCAAAAATATAATAACATTAGAACGTGAAAAATTAAAAATTAATAATTACCAATACACCTTGGTCACAGGCACAGGTATAGATAATAAACAGGATACAGACTTATCAGTTATCACAATGTAAGGAGTCTTATCACAGAATATTATTATTCAATATTCTGTGGTCTTATCAACAACTCTATCTATATTATTGATATCATAG